ACTTGACATTTAAACGTGTGACAAACATTTCGGGGGACAAGTTTACCGAGGTCAGGGCGAAAAGGGAAATTCAGGGGGCGGAGGCTGAAGGCAGCGAAAAACTTTTGTATTTGTAAATGCAAATACGCAGTGACAGTTTGAGAGGCACTGGAGCATGTGGTGGACGGAAGCGAAGCGTGAGAGCTCCGGAATATTTAGCGGAGACATCCACGGGAAATGAAGAACGTGTTCGGAATGAGTTGATCCAACAATGTACGAGCTAACCAAGTTTTTGACTTACAAGTAAGAAAAAACTGCTTCAAGAATAAGCGATTTATGCTAACAACTTTATAAATAAGTTGTGAACATATATTTGTTTGTTTCCAAATTAAAGCTATGTAGAGTAGTTAAAAAAAAGAACTAGTTTAGGTAATACAATGCAAACTTAAATAAAGAGAAAATGAAATAACTAACTAAATATTCACCAAGAAGCAGCAGTATCACTTTTCAAAGCTTCCAAAGGATTGTGTTTATTAAAACTAAATTATATTTATTTTTAATGAGAAGTAATGGGGTGTATCATAGAATTAAAAACAAAATTATTAAATGAGATTTAACTATAAAAGAATTAAATAATTTCAGAGGAAAATATACCTTATGAACTTTAATTGAGAAGCATATCTTTTAATCAATAAAATCGAAAGATATTTTTTGCAGGTACAACTTTATATAGCCTTCATAAAGAATCAATAATTAGGGTTTCCAAGCTTTTGTAAGGTTGTGCTTATGATTGAGATATTCATTTAAATTGCAATTCCAACCGAAAAGCATAATAAAACTCGCCATATATCCAAATAGCCTCTATTCGTTTGTTGAATTTACATAACAGATAGACGTTTATTGGCTTTCCACGCCATTTGGCAAGTTAATTCACGGTTTCCTGAATTCTGTAAACTATATTAAAAAATTAATATGTTCCCGTTAGAAGCGCGCTGATGATGAAAATGTTTGCATGAAAAGGAAAATGCGTAAAATTTGTTAATTGCGAAAAACATAATAATATTTAAGGCTCAACAGCAAGAGGATATGTCGGAAAATGATTGAATGTGTCCGAATGCAAATTTAACACTTTTTAGCCGTGGGCCGTGAATCGTCGTGAATTGGCTACATTGCTTAATATCCGTTTCAACTCCGAGGCTGCACTTTATTCAGTATTATGGCGCATAAATAAAATCACAGCAAGAGGCCAAAAATGTCGGATGTCGACACGGACTGAAACTGACCTCAGATACAGAGAAAATACAGTACAACGAAATACAGTGCGAAAAATTGTGCACATAATTTTTAGCAGTTGCACAATTTATTGTCGCATGCAATTAGGCGAACTCGTAAATTCTCCGAGACTGTCGCAACGCACAGGAAAATAAATAAAATTAAAGAACAGCTAACGGAAAAGCGGAGCACAAGAAATTTATTTAAAGGAAACTATAATTCATAATTTGCTGCTGGGCAAGCCATGGTGTTTCTGCTGTTGGCTATTTATGAGCAATTGCCGGGACGTGGCAAAGATTCACGAAAGGATTCTTAAGATCCGCCAGCAATAAACATTGTCCAATAAATAAATACACTTTCGCACACCCCCCCCCCCCCCAAAGTGCGAATATCAAGAGGCAAAATGTGTAAATATGCTTATTGTTAGCCCGAGCATGTTTGAAAATCTTAAAGTATCCAACATTATATGGCGTGATGTGGCTTGGTAAATGGTGCCCCCAAGAATGCACCACTCAGGGTTTCAATTGGGGATCTAAGTCGGTGTGTTTGTGGGGCTAGTTTACCTCTTCAGCACGGCATCAGACGAGAATCTTGCATTAGCGAAACAGTTTTGTGGCATAAAGAAAACTCCCCCCTCCACATATGTGTGTAGTGGGTATCAAAGCACCCGACACAAACAACAAAACGGCCATTAGGTTGCACAATAAAAATGTTTAAAATACTATATGTGTGTGGAAAATTCTGCTTGTGTATGGAGAAAATGAATCCACGTTAAGTTAAATCAGGAATTTAAAGACGATTGGCAAATGTTCTTTCAGTTTTGTGCCCAATTGTTTGCGAATTCATTGACTTAAGGTAAATTCATTACTTTTTTAAAGAAAACATCCCGTTAAAGGGTTGTGTAATTTACTCATGCATGAATTATAAAGATAGATATGTATCATTTTTTCACGATTTAGCCAAATAAAAATATATAAAAATAAAAACGTTTCAAGTAGTACTTATAGAAAAGTTCAAAAGTGTACCTATTATTATGATCTTACTTAAATCTAAAATACTAAAACACTATTATTATATGTATAAATATGAAAATATTAATATTAATATTTATTATAATTAATAATGCAAGCTTTATTATAGTGTATCCGTCAAGTCAAGTGAACCGAAGTTCCATTTTTTTTTGCCGGCAATAATTCGTGGCATTTGTGTGCATAAATAGCCAGACTGTTTGCACTTTGAGACGCCCGGTACGTGTCTTGTGGCATGCCTCGTCGGCTTAAAGCCCGCCTCAAGCTGTCGAGTCAGGTTAAAGCGGCTTTAATGCGGCCACGTTGCGTATACGCAACACGCGAACAGAGTGCCCCAAGTCGGCGCATCTATTCTGCATTGCCGTCAATATAGACGCGCCATCGTTGAAAGCCTGCCATCGCAGCTACACATTTATGACAGGCGGCTCTTTTTCTGCCATTAACCAAATGCGACGCTGATGAGCGGGACACAACAAAAAAAATACAACAGCGGAGAGGCACTGCACTTGGAGGCAGCGCACTTAGCGGAAGTACACTGACAAAAAACACAGGAAAATATGGTATGATGATACATTAAAATTTAAAGTTCATGTGCTCTCACATACAATACACTTTTATGTTTATTAATTTATAATATAAAAGGATTGCAAAACGAAGAGTGTGTTTTGCCTGCAAAATTATTTGAATTTGTAAATGTAATGACGCTTATTCATAATATTTTAAGTGTTTTAATCACAGTATTCCTGCTAACAGAACTCATTCAATTTATTTGTAAATTTTACTTTATTTCAACAAAATCATACGAATTTTAAAGTCTGTTATCTCAATTATTTTTTTTTCACAACTCATGTAATTTATTTATTATTTATTTATTTAAGATTTAAAATTTGCAGTTAAATTAATTAAATCATAATATTTATGTAATTTTGGGCTTTAAATTCGTAACTATTAGAATACATTTAGATAAGAGCGAGCAACAAGTAATATTTTCTTAATTTTTAAATTTATTAGACCTTTTACTTTACCAAAAACGTACATTTACTTGCAACAATTATTTTATTTTTTAATTGCAAATATATTTTAATTTCTCCGCAACTAGTTTACTGAATAAACGCAAATTAATGTCTAAGTCTCTTGATATTTTCTAGCGGTGCTCGAGGGCCAGAAGACTAGAATGGCTGCACGGCTGGATGGCAGGCAAACCAATGAGTGTCCTTTGCTGGCAGGATGGCTGGATGGCCGGATGGCTTGCTGGCATAGCAATTGAAGTTGAGTTTGAAGTAGCATCTCGTTGGGCTATCAACGCCATCATTGCCATCATCATCAACGCCAGGACGAAGCCGCTGTCGCCGTGGCAAAGGGCAGGCCAGTTGGGATGGATCCTTGTTGTTGCCAGTGACTCTTTTGCCTTTCGCCTTTGGTCCTGCCGATGCAGCTGCTGTTTTTATTATTGTTATGGGCCCATAACTGTCAGCGCAATAAATTTTCCATTTTCCTCAAGCACCACTCTCATTACAAATGCATCGTTGTCGTTCGTTGTTGTTGCTCTTCCTATTGCTGTTGCTATTGCTATTGCTGCTCCAGCTGAAGGATGTTCAAGGAGCTGGCTGGCAAATCAGTTGGCCACGCAGCGGGCGTGATAATGTCCTTCAGCCAAGGCCAAGGGTTAATTAAAATGCGCCAAATCAGCGCCATTAGCGCCTTCAATTTGCTGGCCCGTCTCAGTCAAGTCCAGATTCTGCTTTGAACTTCATTTAGTCATATTTTCGGAGAGGAAAGGTGTTGGGGTAAGCCCTTGCCCGGCAGCCATTTTAATTTAATTGCATACTGACAGCGGAAGTGGGCGGGGTGCGGGTGGGTCGTGGGCATGAAAGGGTCCAAACGGAAATGCTCGCAGCGCTGCAGCTTTTGTGTATTTAATTGCAGCGGCTGTTGCTCTTAACAAACCCACAAGCTAGGGATGAGCATTGCACTATACCAAAATATAGGTAGGTAAAAGTCTTCGTACGAAAAAAATGTTTCACAATAGGTTAACTTTAAAATGGTTTAAGTCTTAAACTTTTCTAAATATTGTTATTGTTACTTTTAGGATATGAACTGTTTGGTACAAAAATAAATGTAAACTCACAAAAAAAATGTATAAAGAAAAATTGTAATTTAAATTACTGTATTTATTCCAGCAATGTTAATTAACGAATAAGAATTTTAAGTAAGAAGTACGTATATATTTATATTCTTAGGAATGTGTTAAGTAAAAATATTGAATCACGCAGAAAAATAGTTGGAAATATACACCTGTGAATTGGATAATACAACTATTTTAAATAGGTGCTGGGGAGCGATCCAATTTGTTGGTTGGATTATCTAGTTTTCTTGGATCCACAGGAATTGGATATATTCACCAACTGAGAGAGTTCGACAAAACAAGCGCTTGTTTGCTTGATCCAACTTTTTTGTATATGGTTGCTATTTAGTTGGTTCATAAAACCATCTACCAGTGATATTATATCTATTTTAATTGCTTAAAAAAATTTTCAATAAGTTCTTTATTTTCAAATAAATTGTAATTGAATGAATTTGACGACAAATAGCCTTTTTTCTAGTAGGAGTAACTCTTAAGGAATGGAGGCGATAATCGGAAGTCCTACTCCACCGCTCAGTAGCCTCAACCTCGGGTTCGAGGCATCGTCTTAACCACTCCAGGTCTTCCTTCACTTCACTCTGTTCATCTCTCTTTACTCCATCGTCATGAACAGTTGTTGGCTGTTAAGAGAAAAAAGTTAAAAAAGAAACTTTATAGAAATGGAAAGGGACATTTCTCATGACATACCTGTTCGGACTCTTTCGACCGTAATCCTGAAGCACGCAAATCTTTTATTATACAGGTATATTTATCATATAATTTACCCCTGGGCTGCTTCGCGCCTACCAAATTAGTTTTCGGCTGCCTTGGTACGTAGTACGTTGCCTAGAAAACAAAAAAGAAAAATAAATTCAGGCATCAATTAATGAGCATGAGAGAACTTACCTTTAAAAAGAACAATCAAAAATTCTGCGTTCTCGGGATCCACATTTTCCAAAAACTCCAAACTTTTTTCAGCGAGCAGCCGAAAAGAACAGAAAAGAGTAGGGATGAAAAATGCAAAGCCAATGATAGTCGAGAGTTGATTGTCGATTATTGTAAAATAATCGATGTTATCGATTTTTGTAGGCTTAAAAATTGACAAAAATTGAACACTTTATTTGAATGATTAATTGCCGTTTGTTTTTATTTTCACGTATACGTGTTAAATAATCGTTTGTATGTACTTTTGTGATATTATTTTGGTATATTTAAGTATTGATGATGAATTTTCTCGAATTGAAAAAATTTATTTTCATAAAAAATTTAACTCTTAACCTATAAATTCAACAGAATTTTCGAGGATTGAATAAAGTCAGTCGAATACGATTTTCAACTACGATTAATCGAGTTCTTTTCTGCCTTTCAAAAAAGTTGACTCATTAATCGAAATTCGAATTCCAGTATAAGTCATCATTTCCAACAAAGTTGGCAGTCTTATCCAATTCAAAGCATATAAAAACCAATCGGAGGTATCATTTTTAAATTGCTAAAATAACCATCACCGTTATTTGATCTTTCATTTTAAATAGGTACAACATCCAATTTTTTCTCACCCAATAAAAATTGGATGCTCTTTCTAACCATTTTTCTGCGTGATCGAACTCCTTCCGAAATCTTTATCCAATAATTATTATTATGTTTGAAATATTAAACGCTAGTTTTTGTTTAAATAAATGTTTGTCACTCTAAAAGCCCCAGTCACGCTTTCATCTTTAAGGGAATATTTTTTTGATCCCCGACTTCCTTTTTTATACAGCTGCTTTTGATCCTGCTGCTGCTGCAGTTGTTGTTGTTGTTTTGCCAGAATTCGCATTCAACCGTGGAAATACATGTAGCTTTTAGTTTTGGTCCAGCCGTGTTGTTTGCTCTCATTTTGGCCGCTGGTCAAATGTACCACCCATCCGATCATCCACCCACCCAACTAACCATCTCTTTTCCACTGGCCAGCGGCATTTGGCATCCGAGCAAAACATGTTTGCTTGCACAGGTGCAAATGTGTGTGTGTGTTTGGTGGCGGCATGTTTTTTGGCCAAACACACACCCGCACACATACTCGTATACTCGCACACACATATAGATGGAGAAGCGGCACATCTAAAATTCATTGTTCGTAAGACATGAACGCATTTTGCATGGCCCAACGCATTCCCGTGTCGCCTGCAGGTGTCTCTCCGGCCACGCCCCCTGCCCCCGAAAATCCCCCGGCATTCCAGACGGAGTCTGTTGTACTTTTGCCGTATTCCGGCTGTGCTTTAACGGTGTGTGTGTGTGTGTATTTACCCACCAACTCACACAAAATGGCGTCACTTGGCTGCAGGCGCATTAATTAATGTTTTGAGCCGCAACAACATCAGCATCAGCAAACAACAACAGCCGGTACGGATAACAATTTAAAACAGCGTTAGTTAACACAAACACAACAAATACACTTTAAAAATATTGGGGTAAATAACAACTCAAATGCTGTCTTTAATTTCGGTAAGGTTAAGACTGTTAAAGTTATATAAATCAAATCAAACTTCCCTGACTTGAATTTTCCAAAAAGTAAAAGTAGAAAGTAGAAACTTGTCTCCTTTTTCTAAAAATCTAACACTAAGTGAAGTAACAATAAGTAAATTTATTACTCAAAATAAAACAAACAAAATGTATGTCCTCAATTTCAATCCTTTTTGTGTTAAGGTGGTGCTCTTAGTTATGATGTTAAGCTACAATATAATTTTGATAGCATTTACACTAGCTTTTTGAAATATCTTAATAAATATCTTTACTTATTCAAGATCGTATTTTTTGAAAACTATTTGTTTCCGTAACTTATTGGAAAATAACTGTGGTTTTCTAGCACAAGATAATAATTAAATTCACTGTTTATTCACTAAAAACTTTAATGACTTATGTAGTTGCACTTTATAGTATAACTTTAATACACTAGCATTTAACATCTTTAAAAATTCAAGCTAGACTGCCTTTGTATTTTGCGAAATCTCATTGTTTTAGTTTAACTCCAGTAAAACTCCAGTGAAACTCAAAGGATCTCACATGGCATCCTAATTGCCAGCTTAAGTGAGACATGGAGTTGGCCACAACTCACCGGAGCGATTTCCATCAGATACATTATACAGAACACCCCACACACACACACACACACGATAGAAGGCTTTCAATTTAATTGCCACAGGTGAACAAGGCAACCGATTGGAGTTGCCAATGTCTTCGACACTCAGTCAGGAGGTCCTTGTGGTTGGTCCTCTACCCAATACCCATTTCCCACTCCCCGATTGCAATCGCAAAATGCTGTCTCATGCCTGCGGAGCAAAGTCGCAGGATAAGACCCGACGAACGCACACAATATTTCTTCATCAACAGCTTAAGGCGGCGGGCAGGCAATAAATTTTGCGCTGTTAATTTGTCACATGATTTTAGTTGGCCAATTACAACTATCGGACAACAACAGTGTGCGCTCCTTTGACAGGACGCACACACAAAGGATGGCTGGCCGGTGGCCACAATGCCAGCTTAACTGACTGGCCCAGGAAAGATTCCGGTGGAGTCAGGGGTCAGGGGTCAGAAAGTGTACAAAAATGCCAACGGGGCAGAAAAAAAAAAGGGAAAAAAACCAGCAGACGACAGGAGCTAGTGGCTGTGCGTGGGTTGGTATTTATCTAATTGTCCCTTACCCACACACACTCACACTCTGTTTTGCAGGTCTTTAAGGACATTTTTAGCTCGCTCAATTCCTCGGCTAGATAAATGTGTGTGCGTTCATAAAAATGCGAATCTAATGCGCCGTTTGTACGACAAGTCTAATTGCACAAAATCTTTGTATGTGTTTATGTCTCGGGGCAATTGATCCTGGCCATCCTGACATTTAATAAATATCCGACTAGTAGTCAGTACCGCTGACGCACTTCCGTTTCCTGTTTATTGGCCCAAAACTCAACGGACGACATTTTCTATACCCAAATTATGTGACATTGATGTTCGGTAGTGTTGTCTATTTGGATGCTTTCAAGTTTTAATAAACTAAATTTAATGAATTATATTTAAATTTCATATATTTACTTATTACTAAATCATTGCAGTATATACATCTCTTTAATCTTGAAAAACATAAGAATATTCATTCAACTATTTTTTTGAAAAAAGAGAAGGTGGTTAAAAATAAGTCATATATTCTAAATTGCTTGTATCAAATAAAAAGTTAGCAATCAAATTATTTGTGGTTTAAAACTTTAGACAAGTCTTTTTATTGCCATTAATTATAAAATTTGACTATATAGAGCGTTTTCTAATATTAAATTTGAGTTCCTTTCGGTACTCCAAATTGACAACACTAATCGGTCCTCGACGCAATATGGTCGACAGGAGGCGGAACTTGCGTTAATGTCCCTAAATAAGAAATTCATATCATTAATTTGATTTTGTCTCCCTGTCGTTGGGCCCTCGACTCGACTCGACTCGACTCGCCCAGTGACAATTTGTCAGGGCCGGAGTGTGTGTACGGGGTACTTGTGCAGTGCATTTCAAATGAAATGTAATTGCTGTGTAAGCCCTACCCATTAAGGCCCTGGCCAAAGTGCGTGGGCTACATAATGGCAATGCAAATAGTTTGAGTTGACCGAAACAGAGCGGAGCGAAGAGTCGAGTCGAATCGGAATTAATGGAATTGCATTCCGGCAACAGATCCTCGAATTTGCGGGCTACTCCTAATTGACCATGTGAATCATGGCCCAAAGTAATTCACCAAGAAACAAGCAATCTTTGGAGTTCAAAATGGTGATGACAAAATACTGTCATTACCTAACTATTTTATTATTTATTACATGTTTATAAATATAAAATATCAGTAAAATAATTATATATTTCACTATAAAACTATAAACTACAAAAATAGGGCGTTAAATAGGCTCTAGCATATTTTTTAAAGTTTTTTTACAGCTTATATAGAAGGGTGTTGAACATATGATATACAGAAGAAATGCTTCAAAACGCTTTAAAAGCAATTAAGTTTTCGATATTGATATTTACTTTTTTTCTTATGGTGATATTACGCTCGGCTGACGAACTTGTGCCTAGACACATTTGTTTATGAACAATTCGTGCATGCTATACAATTTCATAGAGTTCAAAGGAAAACATTTGAAATTTATTGCCAGACAGACAGTATGCATACTGTGTTAACCTGGCCGAAAGCATTGGTGGATTTCGCTTGGCGCGGAAGACCCTAAAATCTAATTAGTTTTTGGACAGAAGCTGGGACGCAACCGGAAACCATTTTATGAAATATTTTATTTAATTATTTCGAATATCGGAATTATTTTTTGCCCTGCCCTGCCATGCCCATCTCCCATGGGGACCAGCCAGTTTTATTTTGTGTTCCGACCATTTCTGTTGTGGTGATAAAATTTTGACAGAGGTTATGTTACCCTCTGCCACGCCCCCTCGTTCCGGGATTCCCCAAACGGTTCGAACTAATTAGACGGGGCACCAAAGCGAAAATTTCGGTATTAAAATTGTTGAAAGCTCAAAATTATATTTATGGATCGCGGCAATAATTAAGCTAAGCCAATGTGCAAATTGTTATGCCTGTGGTTTCCCCAGCACATGTCGACTGTTTGTCCAGATTGTGGAGGCGGGTGGGTGGCTATCTTCGTTGCGTAATCCGTATCATGATATAGTTTGTGGACACGGCGGAAGGTAGCTGGGAAATACTGACAATTTTGTGACAGTTTGTGTGGCCCTTTGATGCAAATTTTGTAAAAGAGTCCCCAACAAATAAAAAAGTTTGGGAAAAATTCAAATATTTTGTCTATAAATGATCCTGTTCAATATCATAATTATTACCCAATTTAAAAAAATTTAATTAAAATCCTTTTTAAATAAAACCACCAAACTGCCATACATCGTCAATAGTAATTTATATTAACAATAAAATATGGTCCATCTTGAAAAAGGAATAAGTAAAAGTATATAAAATG